ATTCCACAATAATTTATATTTGAAATGGACCAGGAAAAGCTAGCAGGCGTCAGCAGCATGTTAAGCCGAAATTCGAATCAGGAACAGACAAAAAATCATATCATGTTGAAAATATATGCAGCGCCATGTCGACAAGATTCCCATGTGTGTGGGTCTTGTGCGTTTACATTAGCTGGAGGGCAAGTATCACCCACAAATTAAACCATCGTAGTGATAACATGTTACAAATTCTGGCCAAAAGAAGGTAACATGTTACAAATATCTTTCTCCCAATAACTTGCTAATCAGAATTGACATCTCAAGCGTCAAAGAACCATGTGTCTAATCAGAATATCGCATCAAATATCTGGGGGGAAATATGTATCAGATCGTCAGATCAACACAACTAGGTCACATTTGATAATTGTGTTTGAATGGCTTAATTTTTACCTTAGATTACCTCGGCATAATAAGTACCTAGAAGACTTTTTCACGTCAAATATTTTAAACTTTTTATGTTTGTTAAAAAAGAGTCATCAAAATTTTCATCCTTGGAAATAGGACTTTCAACAACTAATGAATGAAGAACGTAGGCCTTTTCACATCGATTATTCATTAACCAACATAAAAAATCTTGTTCCATGTTAGTTTTATTAGTAACATTCTTTTTAGTAAATTTAAGAAAATATTTTACTTTATTCTTATGTTCTTCATTTGTTCTCCTAACATTCATCCAACTAATGTTTAATTACCTAATTAATTAACATAAAAAATATTATACTTAAAATTTTTTTGACTTAATTTAAAAAATTTCAATGAAGCTTCTCCTTAAAATAGCATCTTCCAAAATTTCAACAAAAGTCAAATTCAACTCAAATACCAACAATAATCAAGTTCAAAACAAACTTCGAAACCATGACTATATTATACTCCCTTTATTTTAAATTATAAGATACTTTTAGATAAAATCTCACATATCAATAAAATTCATTAAATGCACTTTACAATTTATTTTTTTAAAATAAAAATATAAACTTTTAAAAATGCCCTTAAAAAATATTGAAGAGAGAAAATATATGGGAAAGGTAATATTAAAAAAGCATCATTAATGAAACCTTATTTCTATCAAAGTGTTTTATATTTTGAGACGCTAAATTTTCTCTAAAAGTGTCTTATAATTTAAAATGAAAAGAGTGCAAACTATCCAGCAATATTCATTACTAGTAGATATTTAATTCCTCTAAACAAGTATAAATTTCAACGTAGTTTCCCTTTTGAAATAGCACCTCCTAAAATTTCAACAAAAATAAAATTTAATTTAGATATCATCAACAATGAAATTCAAATCAAACTTTTAAGCCATGACTATATTATATAAACTATCCAGCAACATTCTTCACAATAAACTTATCATAACAAATTTAATTTCTCTAAATAAGTATAAATTTCATTCGTTTATCCAGCAACATTTATACAAGTATAAATTTAATTTCTTTAAACAAGTATAAATTTTGACGGAATTTTTTCTTAAAATAGAACTTCCCAACCTTTCAACAAAAATTCAATTCAACTTAGATATTAACAACAATGAAATTCAAATCAAACTCTCAAATGATGACTATATTATATGAACAATCCATCAAAATTCATCACAATAAAATCATCACAAAAAATTTAATTTCTTCTAAAAAAGTAAAAATTCCATTCCTTTATCTAGCAACATTTATCAGAATAAATTTAATTTCTCTATCCAAAAATAGAAAGAAAAGAATTATATTAAATTATATAAAATTAAAACAGCAAAAATTCATATTTACATATGTAACCAGCCACTATAATTTTTATAAAACAAAGAAAAAATAGAAAAAAATAACGACACTCACTTGGAATTTATGGAGAAGAAAATGCAACCCAAAAAATCCACTTAAAACAAAACCCAACAATGGAAGGAGAGGAAGAAACAACCACCCATTGAAATAATGTGACTCAAGAAAATTTACTCACAATGGAAGAAAATAGAAGAAGAAATAAAGTAAATTGAGACCCTAACTCAAACGATAAACTTGACTCTCGAACAAAATGCCGTAAGAGCAAAATCAAAAGACCCATAACCCACTACAATGAAGAAGAAACAAGAGAAACTAAGCGAGTGAGACCCAAAAGCTACCTAGAATGAAGAACCACAGCACCCACAAAGAACAGCACGAAGGAAGATGGCCCAATCACAAGAATGGAAAGCGGAACAGCTTAAGATGAACGATGATAAATTTTGGCAGACGAAGCGATCGAAGAGGAGTAGCAAAAGATGGCATAGCGGAAGACAGAATGGGCGATAGGGTTTCAGTCAGCGACGGTTCAAGTAGGGGAGGAAGTTCAGACCTTTGGTAGTGAGGGAAAAAAAGAGAGCCTCAAATCTGAAATGTGAACTCTTCATAGTTAGAGCACATACCAAGTCGATTGACAAAAACCCAGTGTGGTATGTGCTTTTCCACGTTGATTAATACGTAACTGACATTGTATATATTAATTTTTAATAATTTTTTTAAATAAAAACATTCCACATTGGTTAAATATTTAACCAATGTTAAAACATCTTTTTGCGTAGTTTAACTCATAATTACTTTATTGTCATTGCCTCCTTTTTTTGTGCTGTCATTGAAATACTTTTTATTATTGTTAAATATTGTTGTAAATTTATAATTGTTATTGTTGTGATAAATTTTATATGACTATAAATAATTTTATTATATTAATTGAGTTTATTATACCTCTTATAGATTAAAAATAAAAAAATAAAATGAGATACTAGTTGAGACAAAAATCAATCTCTTAATCCTATCAAGTCAGTCTTTTGTTGTGTCAGATTACTGTCTAATTATAACTAGATTATAAATATTAACATTTTTTTGTAAATATAAGGAGGAGGTTATGTGGACAGCAGAGAATGTCTTTTTCAATAATAAATATCAACTTTGTCAAAACATTTTGTTGAAGAGAACTAAAACTAAATTGTCAATGACATCATTCGTTCCATAATGGGAAAATGACATTTAAGAGCAATTAAAAAAAATTATTATCATAAGAGTCTATTAATTTTACATTGGATATTTTTTATTAAGGTTTCTTTAGAAATTTAATCAGCTAAGGTTCTACTTTTAATTTGTATTTTTTTTAATGAAAAGTTTAATTTTAACTTGTTCAATATAATGATATATACATGTTCTTTTTTATTTAAAGGGTTTTTCATTCATAGCACAGGATAACATAATCAAAATACATCCAATGAACCATTTCTCTCCCCTTTCTCCTCTTCCTCAATGAGATAGCATCTGATGCAAAACTGGTGACCTCCTATTGCAATAAATTATCTTAAGAGGGCCTTAAATGTTAGTCTCCCTTCCATAATTTTGATCTCCAACTAAGTCCAAACCTTTCTGGTAAAAGACATTGGAGGATACATTAATTATAAATTACGAAGGTGATTCTCTGAAACATTGAAGCCTAAACCACATTCTCATTCTGCAACTGCTACACGGGTCACAAGAAGTTGCCATTTTGCTTGATTTGGCGGGTTGGCCTGTACTCCCCAACTCCACTTATGAGCTAGCCATGGAGAATATATTTGCGTGTTGCTCATTAGCTGAGTTTCGTGTATTTGTTTTGTAGAAAACGTGGGGCTTAAAGCTCTATAGGATAATTTAGTTTACTATTTTCTTTTAATATTCATTTTGTAAATGAAGCTCATGTGAGAGAGTTTCACCCACATGATTATCAATAATTCAATATCATATATATATATATATATATATAGATAACATATTATATTATTTAAAACTATAAGTGAGATGATTTATTCCCAAAGTCGTTGCAATACACGAGGAAATATAAAATATGTTTCCTTTTTCTTTTGGATAAAAATTATTCCTCTTTTAATCAAAGGCTAGGAAACAAAGAACTGAGGCGTAAATGCAGCCCAATTAATTAATTGTCAGATAAAAAAAGTACAACTCATTCTGAAGCCCACCCAATTGTCAAACGGTTCCCGTTTTTCGTCCAATATTTTTTAAAAAAATTTTGGGACCAAGAAAAAGGGTCGAGGTTTCGGTCCCCAGAACTTCATGCTCCCTCCAATTCTTATTAATAAGATGCTTTTCATTATTTCATATATTTTAAACATATTAATTTTTTTCTTAATATTATAAAAAATAATATGAACTTTTATTTTTATCATTTACTTTAAATTATTATACAACTATATTAAATATCTTTATGCTAATAAAAAAAGTAAAATTAAAAAATACTTTAATTATTATAATATGTCTTATATTTTGAATAAAAATTATTTATAGAAGGTGTTTTATAAATAAAACCAAAGAAAATAATTTAATATGGCAGCTAGCAAACAACAATAATAAATAACTAATAGATGTTTGGTCTAACAAAAAAGCATAGCTTTTCATAACGTGACAGTTTAAAATTTGAATTACTGTTAAAAAAAGTATTTGCATTTAGCATGCGGAAGTACTTACATTTAGTATGTAATCATGTTTCAAACATAATTGCCTTTAAAATTTATTAAACTAAGATGATAATAAATTAAAAAATTAATAATATAGACACAAAAAATGTAAAAATTATAATAATATTAAAAGAAAGTCTTGTAGATTTCAATAATCTCAAACTTTGTTAAGCTAACATCTGCAAAACAAATGATAAGACCTTTCCCTTGGTATAGTAGCAATATAACAATCTATGCAGTGATGTCCAATTACATAAAATATGGCTCACGTATTATATATGTTTCTCTCTTCATTAAAATACATTAAAATCGCCCAAAAAGAAATCTTTGAATGTTTTCTCATTCTGAGTAGCAACTCGCAAGAGGCTTTGACAGCCACAAAAGGCATTCAATTTTAAGGGCAGCCGTTGACCCCGTCAAATCCGTTAATGCCGTTCCACGGATAACACACAGCCCTTGTTCTTGTTCATCTCTCATACAATATTTCGGGACCTCCTTCATTTCCCTCTCTCCTCTGTTTCTTCCTCTTGTTCCTTTAATAGATTCGGATCACACTCTGTCCCATTTTCTGGCAAATGGGGCTTCAAACTCCACACTTTTCTTCCCAAACACCTCACAACTTCTGCTTCTGTTGCAGTTTACTGTGCCATAATAATGAGCATCTCAAGCCCAGAGACAGAGAGGCCTGAGAACTGAGAATCGTATTACCTCCACGTTAATATCATAATTCTTGCAGCATTGGCGGCCTCAGAGTTGGCGCATTCGGTATCGGACGATGGAAACTTATTTACACGAAAACTTTGAAGTCAAGTCCAAGAACTCATCTGAAGAGGTTCTTCAGAATTGGAGAAAGCTTTGTGGGTTTGTCAAGAACCCCAAGAGGCGCTTTCGCTTCACAGCCAATCTCTCTAAGCGAGGCGAAGCCGCTGCTATGCGTCGCACCAATCAGGTATTTCTTTCCCGTAAGCAAGAAGATTCGTATCTATGGATAGACACACACACGGCTTCATATTTATGTTGTTTTCACGTTGTTTTCTTGTGTTTTGTGCTCGTGTGTGTGTGTATTTATGTGTTTTAATTTGTTTTCTGGTTCTTGTTATAAGCAAGTGGTTTTCTTATATCTTTAATGAGCTTTTCAACCCGCATCAACTGAAGACAACATATAGAAATAGAATGTCACATCTTGATGCAGTTTTTCTAAATGACTCGCTTTCCCCTCAATGCAGGAGAAATTGAGGGTCGCTGTTTTGGTTTCCAAAGCTGCATTTCAGTTTATCCAAGGTGAGTAGATATCTTCAGCTTGATCTTAAGCCTTATGATCACAACAAAGTTCCATAAACAGACGCATAAATTCATTAAACATATTTATTTACTTGCAATTATGTCAGCAGGTGTGCAAGCAAGTGATTACACGGTACCTGAAGAAGTTAAAGAAGCAGGTTTCCAGATCTGTGCTGATGAATTGGAGTCTATTGTTGAAAGACACGACCTAAAGAAGCTAAAATATCATGGTGGGGTTGATGGTATTTCAGAAAAGCTTTCTACCTCAACCGCTGATGGTATTGGCAATGACCCTGACCAACTTGTCAAGAGACAAGAAATTTACGGAATCAACAAATTCACCGAGAGCGAAGCCCGTAGTTTCTGGGTTTTTGTTTTTGAAGCTCTTCAAGACATGACGCTAATGATCCTAGGCGTGTGCGCTCTCGTGTCTCTCGCAATTGGAATAGCGACAGAAGGATGGCCCAGAGGAGCTCACGACGGCCTAGGAATCGTCGTGAGTATCCTTCTGGTCGTGTTTGTGACAGCGACAAGTGATTATCGCCAATCACTACAGTTCAGGGATTTGGACAAGGAGAAAAAAAAGATTTCCATGCAGGTCACAAGAAATGGGTACAGGAAAAAAATGTCAATATATGATTTAGTTCCCGGCGACATTGTGCATCTCGCTATAGGAGATCAAGTCCCTACAGATGGACTCTTCGTTTCAGGATTCTCCGTGCTGATCGACGAGTCGAGTTTAACCGGAGAGAGCGAACCAGTGATGGTGAATTCTCAGAACCCATTTCTTCTTTCTGGAACTAAGGTTCAAGATGGGTCCTGTAAGATGCTGGTCACAACCGTAGGGATGAGAACTCAATGGGGTAAATTAATGGCTACACTGAGTGAAGGTGGAGATGATGAAACACCATTGCAGGTGAAACTGAATGGAGTGGCCACTATCATAGGGAAGATAGGCTTATTCTTCGCTGCTATTACTTTTGTTGTTTTGATGAAGGGACTTATGGCACGCAAACGACAAGAAGGAAGATTTTGGGGTATATCTGGGGATGACGCCATGAAGATGTTGGAATTCTTCGCTGTTGCAGTTACAATCGTTGTCGTTGCTGTCCCTGAAGGGTTGCCATTAGCTGTCACACTGAGCCTTGCGTTTGCTATGAAGAAAATGATGAATGACAAAGCCCTCGTTCGACATTTGGCTGCTTGCGAGACCATGGGATCAGCGACAAGTATATGCAGTGACAAGACAGGCACGCTGACGACCAACCGCATGACTGTCGTCAAAACCTGCATTTGCATGAACATCAAGGAAGTGACCAATGAGGACAAGGTTCTCTCTGAGTTGCCAGATTTTGCCATGAAATTGCTGCTAGAGACCATATTTAATAATACTGGAGGAGAAGTTGTGGCTAAAAGGAAAAGCAAAAGAAAACGTGAGATTCTGGGGACGCCTACAGAAGCCGCAATATTGGAGTATGGGTTGTCACTAGGCGGGGATTTTCAAAAAGAGCGAAAAGCATGCAAGCTTGTGAAAGTTGAGCCATTCAATTCAGAAAAGAAAAGGATGGGTGTAGTTGTGGAGCTGCCTGAAGCAAAATTTCGAGCTCATTGTAAAGGTGCTTCTGAGATCGTCCTGGCTGCTTGTGACAAAGTGATCGATTCAAACGGAGAAGTTGTACCACTTGATCCAGAGAAGAGTAATTATCTTAAAGAAACAATTCACCTGTTTGCTTGTGAGGCACTCAGAACTCTATGCCTTGCCTATATGGAATTGGAAACTGGGTTCTCTGCTGAAGATCCTATCCCTACTTCTGGATATACTTGTATTGCACTTGTTGGTATCAAAGATCCTGTTCGTCCTGGTGTTAGGGAATCTGTAGCAATCTGTCGCTCAGCAGGTATAACAGTAAGAATGGTCACAGGTGACAATATTAACACTGCAAAGGCTATAGCCAGAGAATGTGGGATTTTAACAGACGATGGCATAGCCATTGAAGGCCCAGCTTTTAGAGAGAAGACTCAGGAGGAAATGTTTGAGCTGATTCCTAAGATTCAGGTGATTCATTGATTCATATGATTGCCTCAATATTGATGAGCCATCAACAATAATTAGTGATCCTTTAAATATAACACCAAGTTTAATTTGCTTCCAGGTTATGGCCAGATCCTCACCATTAGATAAGCACACTTTGGTGAAACAATTGCGTACTACGTTTGGAGAAGTTGTAGCTGTAACTGGTGATGGAACAAATGACGCCCCTGCCCTTCATGAAGCAGACATTGGACTTGCAATGGGCATTGCTGGAACTGAGGTGAGTCCAAACATTGCATGGTTTGTGTGCATATTAGATAACTTCAAAGAGAAAGGAAAAGCCCATCACAACGGTGTGTTACATATTGGAAAATTAATACAAGGAAAATGCTTATGAGTGGTGACAATAACAATGTGATTTACAAACAGGTTGCTAAAGAAAGTGCAGATGTCATAATTCTCGATGATAATTTCTCTACCATAGTGACAGTGGCAAAATGGGGACGTTCAGTTTACATAAATATTCAGAAATTTGTACAGTTTCAGCTGACAGTTAATGTGGTTGCTTTACTTGTGAACTTCAGTTCAGCTTGCACAACAGGTAATAGAAGCAACCCCATTGCCTCACTGGTTCACCTCACTTTACGAACTTACGATACTAAATGGATTTTTCTTGTTCAGGAAGTGCACCTCTTACAGCAGTTCAATTATTGTGGGTGAACATGATAATGGACACGCTTGGAGCACTTGCACTAGCAACTGAGCCTCCAAACGATGAACTAATGAAGCGTTCGCCAGTGGGAAGGAAGGGAAGTTTCATCAGCAATGTCATGTGGAGGAATATCTTAGGTCAATCTCTGTATCAAGTGCTGGTGATATGGATCCTTCAGGCCAGAGGGAAATGGCTATTTGGTATGAAGGGTCCAGATTCTGATGTCTTGCTAAACACACTTATTTTCAACTCATTTGTCTTCTGTCAGGTAATCCATCTCTATCATATTTGACTGTGCAAGGAAGAACATTGACTCAACCATTTGATCATGTGCTGCTGGTTTGGTATTTGCAGGTTTTCAACGAGATAAGCTCACGTGAGATGGAGGAAATAGATGTATTTAAAGGCATATTGGATAATCATGTTTTCTTGGGTGTCATAAGTGTCACTGTTTTGTTTCAAATCATAATAGTTGAGTATTTAGGAACCTACGCTAACACAACGCCCCTTGCTCCAATATACTGGTTGTTCAGCGTTTCTATTGGATACTTAGGAATGCCCATTGCTGCTCACTTAAAGAAGATCCCTGTCTGAACCATCTCCATGAATCGAAGTATAGTTCAAGCCTCATTGTTGTAACATTACTTTATTTGCCATATTTATGTACATTCTCTAAGCTTTTGTTGGCTTAGATTCAGAAATTTAGCATGTTAGCATGAAGTCACTGTCAAACCAGCACTGACCCATTTTATCTGGTGAATTTTTCTGAGTGATGAAAGTCACACTGATGCTGAAACACATGATGATGCTGGTGTATGATTGTGTTCAAATTGGAAAGTAGTCTCTGTTTGACACCGAGGGCGACGCAGGACGTGTTTCCACCTAATGCACAGCCAAATGAAGCAGCGTAGTATTAATTCGGTCCCTCTCCCTTTATCGTCCTTGGCATTTAGTTTTGAGCCGGACAAATAATTTCTTGTCCAATCAAAAGAAGCTAAACAGCAAAAAGACGAGAAAGTTTCCCTTGCGAAATACATAAGAACAAAACTCCTCTAGCCGTACGATAGTGAATATGGTGTTGTGGTCCAACAAACATCTCTGCAACCCCTCTGCGTGACAGTTATGTATATGGAAGCAAAATTTGAACTTCAACGCAACGAGCCAAACTCACTTCTATTGTCATTGTCCTTTTCATTGGCCGTATTGCTGAACTAAGGAGGTCCTTCTTGCACACTATTTTCTTCTACATGTATGGTGCAGGCATATATCAGTCGGTGAAACTAAATGCGACATCAAATTATCATCTTATCATTGAACATGTGAATTCTGTTTAACCATGGAAATCTTAGTTATCTGTCAGTCAGGGTCAGTAAAACCACACTTTGCATATCAAGTATAGTTTTTTTAACAAAGAAATGTGGAGGCCGGAAGAATCTGGTTCAGTAAATGAACGTGCATGTGAACCAGGTAGGAAGCGAACAATAAACTTGTCACGGAAATTTGTTCACACAAAAAATACAAGGCTGAGGCCAGACTGGATAACTCTGCATCTTCATATTTCCTACAAGAGCATGTGGAGAGGTGGGGATTCTGACACCAACCTCCTTTGAATCTCATCCTCCATATCTCTAATTTCATGGTGATCGACTGGGCCCTACCCTCCTACTTTTGTTTAGCATATGGCAAACTCAGTCTCAGCACATCGTGTTATCTACAAGATGTAGGGATGCTTTTTGATTTGTCCAGATACACATACACGTGGAAATGATGTGAGTATACAAACCAAGAGAGAAACTAAGGGTGACAATGGCACATAACGTCAGAATGTATAAACTCTTGCTTTAGCAGAAAATAGAAAAGGAAAAAAATTCTGACAGTGAGTGGCAACCAGAACATGTACAAAGTCAGCTGTCAGATAGCGTAGTTTGATCGTCCGATTTGGGAATCATTTACAAATTGTTTTAATTACTGCCACAGCATTGTACTGAGGCTTTACCATATTCAGGTCTATAATAATATTAATGCTTCAATAACCACGGTACAGCTAAACAGTTTAAGCAGAATTTATCAGCACTGTTCAAAAAGACTCTCCCACTTCCGAAGCAAAGCAAAATCACACTCAACTTTACAAGCTTTTTTTAATGGCCGAGTCCCAAGTGCTTCTCAGCTACATCAAATCAATCAAAACCTAACACTCATTCTTCCTGCCTGGCTTTCAGCCTTTTCAGAGACATCACAATCTCCCTCTCAGAGTATGTTTGCTCCTAGTCCTCTATCATGTAATGCATACTAAACAATAATATACCAAAGAAATGAGCGTTTAAAAAGTGGACTTGTAAATTGTAATAATATAATGATAATAATAAACAATTCATTGATTTAAAAAAAAAAAAAAAAGGCAATTCAAGGAGCGCAAACATTGCCCTGCATCACGGTGGAAAAACAGTCATCAAATGGGTTTTATGGCCTATCGGACTAAGTCACCTTCATTCTTCCTTCTGGCGGTAGGCTAGTTCTATCTGCTCTTTTTTGTTTGTTTCTTTATTTATATACCTTCTTTTCCTCTGACATATTTGGCACTGGTTGACATTTTAGCTGGGTATTTGGAAAATAAAAACCCAATCATCAAATACCAAATCATTCCACGAACCAGTGGTTGGCACTCATTAGCAGACCTATGAACTATGAAAGAATAAAATTTTCAGTGGAAAAAAGATAAATCTAATCCAATCACTAAAAAAAAAAAAGAATCAATCTTCCTATAACTATGGCCGATGTATCTTTAGTCCTGGACTGCTTTCAGTTTCACTATCTGGAAATGTGAGTTTTCTCTTAGTCCCAGAAGAAAGAACAGAGGCATTCTCCAGAACATCTGTGAAGCTGGCAGGGGTAGACAACAAATTTGAGTCAGGAGGAGTCTTAACTTTTCTTCTCTCTATTTCCTGCATTAGATTGTAGCAGGAAAACACATGTTCCTGTTGGATAACATTACAAAGATCCCATTAAACTGTATCCTGGTTTTCCAATTGCTCATCCAAATAACAAGGATTTGAAGCAAAAAAAGAGCAATCAAACTCACACTTTCTAGAGATCCCCAGGATATCGAGCTTACACAAAGTTCCACACCGCGTCTCGTTAATGTAGCATCAGAAGCGGCTAATATGGCAGCAGAAGCAATAATAGATGGTCGTTGATCTATTAAATTAATACCTGCATGGAAGGAAAAATTACTCATGCTATCTCTCAAGGCATTTTATACAATGTACATTTTGAAAATGAAGTACCTTTCACGATGGCCATGATATGGTCAACAGCGCTTGAGATTATTGCTTCTGGTTTTGATTCCAAGGAAAATTTATTGAACAAGTACTGCAGATATGCAAAAGGAGTCACGGATCCCATTTTCCATCCCAAGGAATCCAAAATTAGTAATTCCATTTTCCTAATCACTTTATTCTCAAAGCAATACTCTTTTCCTGGGAATTCAGATAGAGTTGGTACGTTTTGCTCTTCCATTTTTGCTGCCAAAGATAAACACCCCATCGATAATAATTGAACAGCCCAATGTTTTCCTTCCTACATTAGAAAAAACAGAGATAAATCAAAAAGTCTAATTTACAAAAACAACTGAAAGCGTTATAGAAGGTTTCAGTGAAACTTGATTCCTCACATCAATGGATCGACTTGACAGGAACCGATCGAAGTAAGTCACTGATAAGTAAATGGTGTGAAATTTGAACCCGAATTTCGCTCCAGTCTGAATCAACCAGAAGTAAAAGCTCTCCATCAATTCAAAGGGAAAAGCAAAAAAAGCAGGAATTTTGTAAAAGAAAAATCAGGAAAATGGGTTGCTTGATAGAAACTAACGTTGAAAATCCAGTCAATGGCATCCACACGAGCACTCTTGAGCCACTTAGCAGCACTGGTTGAGCAATCGTCACGTGGGAATACAAACCCCATTTCTCTTTTAAACAAAATCTCAATGTATTCCTCTTCATCCTCGAAAACAGAACATGGGTTCATCCAGTCCTTGCCAGAATTCTCATCACTGACCTTCAAAATGCTAGCCTCATCTTCTTCGCACAGAAGGCTGGAGAAAGAAAACGAGGAGGCAGAGGTCGCCATTGTTCTGGATTCCCAGCTCAGCATATGGAATCTAACCGCTAAATGCAGGAGCGTTGGTGAGAGTGGGAGTGAGAGAGTGAGAAGATTGGGAGGGAAATGGCGAAGTTGGTGCCGCCAAAACAAGGGAAAGAAAATGATATAATTAGCGGTTAGAGAGGGGGTTATGGGATTTATACAGAGGATGATGGGAATCCCAAATTTATCTCAAAATGTTGGGAGATTCATTCGGAGAGGAAGAGGAAGTGGTCAGGTGCGTGCGATGTCACTTTTGGTGTTAAGGACAGCTGTTGGATGGTATGTTTTGTCCCTTCTAATTCAAAGCCCTCTTATTTTGGTTATGCCCTCCCTCATCTTCTTCAATCTTTCACTGGTGTTAATTTTTACTTTTTATAGCTTTAACATTCAATTAAAATTTTATTTGCTTAGTTTCATTTAATTTTCATTTGATCTTCTATTTTAACTCTTGTTTCATTTTTGTGTTGTCTTTCTTGTATTTTAACTTGACTGTTAAGTTTAAAAAATTGCTCAAGGTTTTTGTCACTCAAAACTAGCATCAAATTAAATGGTTGGCAGAAAAATCTTGTGCAAGACATTGATCAAAATAATTAAAATTATTAGGTAGATTATAAAAAAAATAAAGGTGAGGTTAAAGTATCATGTTAAAGATAAAAATCAAGGGGAAATGTTTTATTTTTGGTTAAATAACTAAATTTGAAATAGACAAAACTAATGGACAAAAGTACGTTCAAATTTCAAAACTAATATAAGACCAAATCAAAATTGAAAGGCGAAAACAAATTTTGAAATATAATAAAAAAACTAAATTCTCGTTTTTAAGTTAAATTTCCTCTTTATCATTTAAAAATAAATTCTCGTTTTTTAAGTTATAATTCTTTACTCGTATATTGTCTAATTACTTTGCAAAATTACATTATATTAAAAATCTCTAACGATTTCATTGACAGTGGAACATTTTTTTAGGAGTATTTATCTTTTATCATATCAAAAATTAAAACGGATATGATTGTTTTGATTGATATCTTGTTTTTGTAATCAATATAAATCCCGTTGTGTTTGGATAAATAACTACCATGCATCATAATTTAGATATAGAATGGTTATGATGTATAATATATTCTATAAAATTCATTTGGTTGTAGATTGTGATTGTCAAATTTGTAGGCCATAAAGCACAAATCTACCCTTTATAATGTAAATTTAATTTGGCACAGCAACATGGATATGATGGAATAAACTATGGACATGATTCCATTTTAAACATGCATATATGTATATGTGTGTGTATGTGTATGTATATAAGCTCCATTGGTAGCATTATTACTAGTGGTCTCACTTGCTAGCTGTATACCTCTTTAATTTCCTGGTTTCAAACCTCCTTGTGGTCTCCATTCTGCATCTATTTAAGCAATATCGCAATCACAATAACACTCTTAAATTTTCATCTCTCTCTGTTGTTTCATATATCACTATCTAAGTGGGTCAGATTTGAACAATCTAATTAGTAATAACTGGACTTTTTCCCTCTTTAACAATTTCCA